CCTTTCTCTGGAGAACATACTGTCCTGAGGGGACACTGAAACAACAGTTGTCTGTATTAAGTGAAAAAGCAAATATGTTCAAATTACGGTATTAAAGAAGGTGCGTGGATCACTGTAGTCTACCTGGTGACCAGCATGTTACAATGGGTAACAAACTGACATCTGAAGGCTCCAGGCTTCACAGCACAGGAGGACGACATTAAGGTGCTTTCCAAGGCCCCAGTGTTTGCCATGGTGTCAGTGTAGCCTTTGGCTGCATGCGTGCACTATGCGTGGGCTCCTTAGTCTTGCTGGTGTGACTCTATACCTGGGTTTCCCTTACATTAAACCTGCAGCACAAGTGAGAGGATGCCTGCATCTCCTCTTGAAGCAGCAACCAAATGTGGGTGGTGTCTTAGACACTGCAGGAGCTCTACAGGGGCCGGTGTCCTCACACAGTGCCTGGTCTGTAACGCAAGGAAGTCAGTGAGTGCGAGTGGCCTTTGAAGAAGCAGCTGGTGGTACGGCTGCTGTTCTGCTGCACTGCACGCTGCTGAAACCCACGGCTCGCCCTCAGGGCAGGAAAGGGGGGAAGGTGCCATCGGCCCCTGGAGAACTGGGGGAGCTATTGGGAAGGGTCCCATCTCCAGGAGGAGGTTGACAGCTGCAGGGTCCCAGGAGGCTGGTGGCACAGGAGCAGGGGAACCACCAAACTGTGGGGTCCCCACAGTCTATCTGCTCTCTCCTGGTATGGGAATATTGTGGGTTCTGCGGGTCCTTGGGCCAGCCATACAGGAGGACTCTGCTCTCAGCTCTGCTTCCCTCTGCACCTGAGGCAAGAAACCAAAGTGGTGTCTGGGGGGGAATTCAGGGATCCAGCTTTCCAGAAGTGATAGGAAGTTAAAGAAAATGTCTCTGTTCTTCCAGAAGAAAAGGGCCAAGTAAAGCATGCTGCATTGCACCAGGCCCATTTCCAGATGAACGCTAGCCATAAAGAGGATTGTCATTTAAAGAACTGTGCAAAGTTGAACTGGTTTAACAAAAGACATGTTTTATAAATTGATTTCACTAAGGTGGTTCAAAATGTCCATCAAATCTTGCCCTCAGTTAATATGGAGCTGTCTTGGGAATATTAGATTATGCTCACTGAGAATAAGCTAAAATCATGACCTGATCCAAATATGTCTATGCTAGGCTTTATGCCAACTGAATGATTAGTTTTAGTTTAAGAACCAATGATTGGTACAACTTGTGGCCTAAGGCTATGATCTGTCTGTCTGTGGGCAGAGATGTTACGTTTTGATCTAATGAAGTCTGATGATTTCCATCAATGAATCTGAGATGCAAAAAGAGCCACCAAAGAACTCTCCAAGAACAGCGACCTGTCACACAAATGGCGTCCCAAAAAATTCTGTTGGGATTTCTGTCCCAAAGGGTTCCAGCTCTTTCCCACTATGTTGTTTTGGTTTTAATGCTGTTCTGTGACATCCAAGTGTTTTAACACTGAAAGTATCAGCTGGGGGTAAAACACCTGCTTCTATTTCTGAGCAAGAAATCAGCGGACAAGAAGGCAGGACTGGATTTCAGAGGAATGAAAAGGCCCTCAGAGACTGACAGAGCTGTCTTGGAAGTAAAGAAGAAGTCACGGTATCTTGGAGGTACCATAGAAGAAGCCAGAAGGTGCCCATAACTTTCCAAAACTTGGTGTGTTTGCATTTGTCCCACTGTTACAACTCTAGGCTATGAGAGCTGAAGCGTGTTTGCAGGGGAGTCTTGGGAGAGAATGACTTCTATCAGGTATTCAGACTGCACAGTAATTAAACTGTAACAGTAAAGAAGTTACGAAAAGGTGAAGTTTAGTAGCTATCTGTTTCCTTTTAGCAGATGTATCTTCAGGTTAAGCCACTGCTCTGGCATCCAAAAGAAATGTTCCAGCAATCTCACTGAGGTAGCATGGATAAAGTTTCTGCATCTGGTCCCTTATATAAAATACAGAGCAATTTCCTCTAAGCAGACTTGTTTGGGTCAAGGACTGCCTCTGAGGGTACAAAAATCATGCCCAGCACCATAAAGACCTGACCTCAGTTCAGCTCTGAGCGCTGCTGCAGTACAAATAACTCCACGGACACCCAGGCGTGCTGGCAGTGCAACGCTCGCTAACATGGAGGACGAAGGGAGGCTGTTCACCTGACTTCAGAGACTGATTTTGAGTGTTCCTAGGAAGAATGTGCTCAGAAGCCAAGGAGAAGCCTCATGCTCCAAAAGCACCTGTTAATATGTAATAATCAAATTATTGCTTCTTTTAAAATTTTAATGCAAAAGAGTACACATTTTATACATTAATGCAAATGTATAAGAAGTGCTAGGCTGTAAGTACCAATCCATGATTCTATTAGGTTTCAAAATAGAAATGCTTTGAGTTTTCTTTTAATTTCTGTTCAAAGTCTTTTCGGAATTCTATAGAAGTTTCCCATAAAAGGGCTTTGTTTTCGGCTGTGGTGCCTGGTTTTCCCCAAGAGCGCAGAGAAGGGGATGGTTAGGTATGCCGTCATACTGAGTTGGTCATGTTAGCAAATTCTTTTCTAAAAAGAGGTGTCAGATTGTTCAGCCAGCTGAAGTAGTCCAGTTGTCAGGAGAGTGACTTAATTCGATAAGCAGAATTTTAAAAACACTGTGTTTCTTTGTTTAACAGATAGATTCTATAAAATTAGCTCCAGCCCTGAAATCATTTCTCTCCCCACCCTCCCTGTATTATCCCCCTTCCATCCTTGTCGCTACCTCTCCTCCTTGCCTTGTTTTGTCTGGTACCGATTCACACTGGAGTCGTCCTGCACATCCCCTGTGGCGATCTGCTCAGCCCAGAGTCAGGCCAAGGCACCTTGATTAAAGCTCAGGGAGCGAGGCGGCTGAAAAGGACACAGCCATTTCGGTGTCCGGGGCTCCTGTCCCACTGTGGGTGCCCCGTGCAGTAATTCACTTCTCTCTGAAGGGAGTGCCAGGTGTCTAAAATAAATCCCCAGAGGGAATGCGTGACTCGTGCAGGCAGATGACAGAGGTCCATCTAAATCTATCTATAGACGTGGCTGGGCAGGGAGGGCCCACTTCCTTTCAGCGTTGGGAAGGAAGAGCTTACATGCACAGCACCCTGATGGATTTTACACCGGGAACTTTTGGAAAGGGTTGAGTTTAATTAACACGAAGAAGAAGCACGCTTCGACCTGTGGTTGCTGTCACACTGAGCACCAGCAACCAGCGAACCCAGTGGAAGTTAAAAACACTCAGGACCTCCAAATACCTTTGCAAGGACAGTGCTGTAGTCCTAAGCCTGCTATACTGCCGCTCCTCGCTCCCAGGAAAATGTCTCGTTCCCTTATTTTTTCTATCTCTTTTTTTTCGTTTCTTGTCATTTGAGATGGATGAGAACATGAGTTACCTGCCTGCTTCTGCTGGCAGTTACTGGTAGGGGTAGGGTGGCTTCACCACTGCTCAGAGATGCTTCTTCACTTTTTCCTTCTTTTTTTTTTCTGGCTTTCCAGAGTGCTGTTTGTCTGTGCACTGACCAGGTTCGAGGTTGTGCATTTCATATCGCCAGCAGTGCTGGGGCTTTTTTCCAAAGACATTTCTTCCTTTCTCCTCACCTATGCTCCTCTTCATACCTTTCCTGCTTTGAGAAAAGCATCAACGTTGGTTAGTGGATTCCTCTTTGGAATTCACTTTGATCTGTATTATTTGAAACCACGCAAAGTTTGCTC